ATGCCCAAGACGAAGAAGGGGATGATGATGACGACACCTCATCAGGGGATATGTAAGTCCCGAGGATCCTTTCCCATGAGAACCCAGACGGAGGCCAACGGAGGACGAGTTGGACAAGGATTTTGATCCGAACGACGAGGTACAGATAAAGCCTTAGTAGCTTGTAAATTTGGCTAATGCTATGGCTTTATGTTACCTCTGCTGACACTTTTGACCTGCCGTATACACAGGTCGTCCCTACTCAACCTCTGAAAAGACGACGTCGGCCTCCAGCTTGTCTTGCCGGACAATACGTAGCGGGGCAAAGAAGATCAGAGGAATGAGTCACAGATACTCACAATGAGGCCTCGGCTCCACAACCTCAGGACACAACCACGATCGAGACCGCCTAAAGAAGAGGAAACGAGGGGGATTAGAAAGCCAAACCAATATCACAAAGAAGGCATGCTATGTGATAACGGAGGTCGTGCCAGACACAGGCGCATCCTTGAGCCATATACATACAGGCGTAAATTCGTAATAACATCGGGTTTGTAGTTAGAGATAAGTTGAACCCAGCTATCCGTGGATCGGAATCTTGTACCTATGAGCCAAAAGGTAGACCTATGGGAGAAGCTAAAGCGAGAACTTCAGGTTTTCAAGGAAACGCATACGAGTTGGTACAAGAAAATGCTTTTAAGATAATGGGGCGTAGCTTTCGACGTTGGCGGTCGGATCTGAACAAGAACTTTGTCCAATGTGGTTAACTCCTTTCCACGAGTATGGCAACATAACTCCTAGTCAATGGGAGGAGCTCGTGGTGAGAAGACTTCAGAGGCATCATTGGCCCTCGGTGCTGTGAATAAATGAAAGTGAGCAAAGAAGAAGAACCAACACTACCCTCGTCTAGGCCCCGGTGGCTACGCAAAGCAAGAGGTCTTTAAGAAGATGGACGCAGAGGCCGGGCTACCGGGAATACGGAAGTGTCGGTTGAAGCCACGCCTCAAACAAAGGATATACGCGAGGAGTGTGGATTCATCCGGTAGTAGCCTCAAGTTTGCTAAGCCGAGACCGGAGAGGTAGTATCAAAGATACTGAAACTTGCTGAAGACAAGGAGAAGGGCGCATTCAACCCTTCCAGACAGAGGGATGAGCTTACCGTTGCCTTGGGAAACCCCGAGCACACAGGACGCACTAGGGGGCTAGGGAAGAGGATGTCCTAGAAGCACAGATTCATAGAGGAGAGGCACATGTACAAGAAACATGGCAGAGACCGAGAGTCTAATCTTGAGCGCCAAGTGAAAGCTCTAGTTGAAAAGATGTTGGTGGAGAAAGGACTGTCTACGATGGAGCCATAGACACCAATGGGGCCGCCCGGAGAACTGGCGGTAGTTGGCAGCCCTCTGGATGTTCCTAGCAGTCAAGGTTCCAATGCAACCGGAACCCCTGTCGATCGCATATGGGCGCCAACCAGTTGCAAATTGGTGGTTCCGATGGGTAGACAAAACATGATCATTGAGGTGGCAATAGGCATGGCACATCCTTCAGGCGGCACGTGGCACAATAGGGATATCCCACAGGACTACACTCGGGTCGAGGTGCATATCGTGAAGCCCTAGTTCATGACTTGGAAGATAGAACACCCTACTCCCGAGGGGCTCATGTTACTCGGAGACGTCATGAACCAGTTCATCCTCTGGCACAAACGGGACATTGTATTGACCGAGTCTTCGCCAACTCCGACTGAAGTTCATCCTCTGGAGCGACCCATCGAGGACGGGGAGCTATACTCATCGGCCCATGACCATGACCACCACATGCTAGAGACTTCTCCACCTCGTACCGAGCAAGGGCATGATGACATGCCACGTCCTTCTCCACCTCGTACCGAGCAAAGGCATGATGAGATGCAACATCCTTATCAACAAGCGCAGCCGATACATGAACAACAAGTGTCTCATGAACAGCAATTGCCTCGTGAACAGCCGATACGTGAAGAACAAGTGGCCCCTGGAGCAGGTGATGCACAAGTTGACAAGGACATGCCCGAATGGGAAGCTCGAAACAAAATCCCAATCAAGATAAGGCCATCGTATGTGGGCATTAATGGTGCACAAGTGGATGGCCCATGACCAGTTCAAGCCTAAGAACCAAGTAAAAGAATTCAGAGCACCAGCTTCTGAAGAGGGCACCACTAGCAAACTGCACAAAGGGTTTAACAAGTATCTAGCTGTTGATAACCTCAAATGGTCAAATGATTGCCTGGATAAATATGAAAAGGGCAAGAACTTTCTACCAAACCGAGTCATACAGTGCTTGCCACATGGAATGAGAAAGTTCCACGATTGGTACTTGCGTGCTCAGATAACAGAACTAGAAATCTTAACAGCATGGATCCCTGCCGGCACATTTGGAGCCCTAGGTGGGCAAATTGCCGTTGAGTTTAAGGATATCTAGGCATGCTTCCACCTCGGACGTATGGAAATGAATCTAATTCGCATATGGTGCCTGTAAGTCCTTGCCCTCTCGATATGATATGAATGTAATCTTTTAATTTTGTTGTAACTAACCCGCGCCGTGATTTGTAGAATGCAAGCGGACTTTGTGAAAAAGAGGCCAGCTCTGAAACATGGGTATATAGACCCTTCACCTATAGCATCAACAAATTTTAATTACCCTAAAGAGTGGAAACTAGATTGCAAAGAACTAGGAGCTGGAAAGACACTTAAGGAGAAAGAGGACATCAGGAACAAGAAAATATTGGAAGAGTCCCTCAAGGTTGCGGCATACATTGCCCTATGTTTTAAAAATCTCCAACAACACGATAATATATGGATACCATACCACTTCAAGTAAGTTCGACTGTATACTTAGCTTTGTTCAATATACTTTGTTCGATGCAAAAGAGCTTATGTGTTTCTTCTATGACTAAATTCATGTAGCGATCACTGGATTTGCATAGGCGTGTGGCTCTCACATAGCATGGCATGGGTCTTTGATTCAGCGGATTTTCCAGTCGAGACATACAAAGACTTCATAGCGATTGTCAAGACGTATACATATTGACAATCCTCATTTTAGCTGCTATGTTTGTATACATACTTGTAAGGTTCAATATGGGATACTAACAAGTTGCATTTGCTAAAACCATTGGAACATGGCATTCAGGCACTATGTCTAGGAACATAAGGGGAGGCATTATCCAAATAGGAAGGAAAAGTTGTATGTCAAAACTCTATGTGCGGTAAGTGTCATTTACTTTGGTACTCCATATATTACGTGTCTGTCAATAACATTACTTAACATCTCTATATGCAAACACATAGTGCCCCAAGCAGAAGCCTGGGAGTCTACATTGTGGATACTACACATGTATTATGATGAGTACCATCGGTGGCTACAACAGAAACCCCAATCTAGTAAGTTTGAACCTCTTCGCTCGTAGTATGAAAAGTTCGCATATGTTGTGATATAGTAAACCTAAACTTGTTCTCTTGTAGTTAGAGAAAGATAAAGACACGAGAAGGAACCCATACAAGGATGACGAGCTCTTAGAGATGGTCGGCGACCTTTGCAACTTCATAATAGACCAGATTGTGTACCATAAAGGCGCTTACCATCATCTTCTTTCCGACTTAGGTAGTAATCCTTTATACCAACACCTTCGGGAGACTGATAGGCTAGCCCTAGGCCGTTGATGACAATGTGGACTTATGGTATGGTTTGGATCAGACTTTGGAACGGTTTGGATTTTGTTTTGCATGTGGACCTGTGGATTTCTTAATGGACTATGTTATAATAATGGACTTCATAATGGACTATGTTGTAATGATGGACTTTTGTGAATTATGACTTGTGATGATGTTCTAAATAATGGTCTTGTATTTGTGGATGTATATATGTATATTTGTGGCGGTCAGATTCGAATTTGAATTATATATATATATATGGTCAGATTTGAATTTGAATTATTTTTTTTACTGGAAAATCCACTGTAGGGGCGGTTCTTGATTGAACCGCCCTTAAAAATACACACAGCAGGGGCGGTTAGTGATACAGCCGCCCTTACAGAAGTCCACTACAGGGGCGGTTGATATTACCAGCCGCCCCTATAGAGGCCACTGTAGGGGTGACTGAAAACACCAGCTGCCCCTACAGAGGGCACTGCAGGGGCGGTCAGGAAACCGCCCCTACATAGGCACCCTCTGTAGGAACACCCTGGGAAGGGCGGCTGGCGCAGCCACCCCTACAGAGGCTCTAGAGCCGCCCCTACAGTTAACTTCTGTAGTAGTGAGCAGGGGTAGAAACACCAACTTCCCAATTAAAATAGACCTTTATTTGACACTAATCTATGAATGCAAAAGACCAGAGTTTTTACATTATCATTTCAAACAACATACAACCAAAATAATGGTCATTCCTTCCTGCTGTACAATTTTGCAATGCAAATAAGATGGGTTTCATAGAAAAATAGGTCTATAACTATCTTGACCCTATTCTGTGAACACAAAAGAGCCGAGTTTCTTTATGATTCTTTCAGACAAGAAGACACAACACAGATGCTAGGAAACTATAGCCAAGACTACATAATCATAATCATCAATGTATTGGTGTCACATGCTTAACTTCTTGTGGAAATGGTTCTATCAAACAAAGGCAAAACGTCAACGGGCATTCTAGCTAAGACTGTCTCCAACAAGGAACTCATATAGGCACACAAACCCAAAATGGACAGCAAGAGACCAAAAATCAGCCTTCAACAGAGTACCTATACGGGAGACCTATTTTGGGTTGCCTGAGAGACACAACCCAAATATGAGCATCCTCTCTCCTGAAAACCCATTTACAGAAAGGATTCTCTTTTTGGTCTTGTTGTTGGAGAAGATGCCGAATAGGTATTGAACCTTTTGTCTGTAGCGCTACCCAAAGGACGAATGGGTCTTATATTTTGGGTGTTGTTGTTGGAGATAGCCTAAGAAAAAGTAGGACAACACCTAGTACTGTAGCGGCAAACTAAACTTTCATGGCAGACAATAGTCAGGGTAATCTGGGATGCCTTCTATGATGACGAGGGTCTCAAACGCTGCTGTCTTGGGGTCATAGTATTCCAATGACAAACCTGTGTTGAGCAAAATCCATCCATCTGTTGGGTCAACAACAGCCAATGGTGCAGCCTTCTCTGGTAATTCGTCAAGCACTATATGATACTCCATTAACCAGATGCCAGCCTCTTTCATCATCCATATATCGATCGTGTTCCTGCTCTGGCCTGAATATGAAATACAAAGTGCACCATAGAGCTCGAGGATGGTCATATGTCCAACGCCATGGGCGCATGGTGGACCTTGCAGGGCTTCAAATTCCTCCGTCTTGACATCGATCGCAATGATTTCACAACTTGCAGAAACCGGTCCAAGATTAGGCTCTACTATCCAGTAGATCTTGATATTGACGAAGGTCGGTTGTACGCGCTGCAGCTACTGGTCTAGGAGGAGGGTCTATTGGGCGCCACTCCTCGCCATTCACATGCTTCATACAGCTCGTAAGATCTCGTTTCTAGGTTCTTCTCTTTGTAGTTGATATGCACCAAGACATGCTCGTCAACCTCTATGTTGTAACCCAGCCCAATACGACCAGCAAAGAACATGTCGTCGCTATCATCAAATGTTGTGGGCTGACGGTACATCATGATAGGATTGCTTATGAAATCCGTGCCAGACCAACTCCCCACATGAAGGCCGTGGCAAGGCTGGGAACACACAACAAACTCCGATCTGGTGGTAATGGCATTAGCAATCTTGGATCACGAATGCATGCATTCCTCCAGATGCACATAGTGACCCAAGCTAGGGTCGATGATGAACATGGTATGTTGGCTCCTCTTCAAGTTTGCGTGGATACGGCATGCGAGCGGATGAAACAATCACTCATGATCATTCCACGCCACTCCCTGCAGACCATTCTCAGCTCTGAAAGGGAGCGTGCTGGCAGCCACTTGAGGATGTTGAACCAAGCTGCGGTTGTTGGCGATGAGAAGATCATGTCCTCAATTGTGCGGCCCAGGGACACAAGACTCTCCTCATATAGATCAATCGTCGGTAAATAGTCATCCTCGCAGTTGCCAATGATGGTATCCTCTGGCATGGGTAGAATCTCTGGGTCGCCACCGCCATTGGAGTCCACTGCAAACACCTTGCAAGAGCCTGTCCCAAACATGATCTTCAGAGTAGTACCAGCAGCCGAGTAATATACACCTACTGGGGCAATCCAGACAGTGGTGGATTCAGAAATGGGTTAGGAGGGGGGCTAAATTATTGTAGACTAGAAATTTTACTAACATACACCTTTTAGAAGGCTAGAAATTTTGCTAAAATTCAATTGCAGAGCTGTTAGGAGGCGCTGAGGCTATGTTTCGACACTGTTGAGTGGGGCTAAAGGCTATTTACTTGGGCTCCTTTTGCACTAGATAGCAGTGCTGTTACTAGAGATTTTGGGCTACGCCCCGGGCTGCAGCCCTGGCAGCCCGGGCCCTGAATCCGCCATTCCAGAGTGACTTGAGAAGCATGCGCACGGAGCACATGGAAGATATCTCAGCACTAGGCCTCCAGTAACCAGTTCCAGTTGTGCCGAGGACGAAGACCTCGCATGTTGTGGGCGTAAAACCACCGCCTCCATCTCCAGGTTCAGGGTCGGAGAACAAGCGCACGAGCACGACTTTGTACTCCTTCCTCGTCGTGCAGTAACCAAGGCCGTAGGAGACCCTAAGATAGCAGGGTGGCTCCACGGATCGTCTGCTCCATCCTGAAGTTTTGTATGCCATCTTAAAAGGCACCTGGCTGTCTGGCAGAGCCAGGGCCTCGCCGGAGCAAGGGTTGACGACGTAGTAGCCGCCGGAGCAAGGGCCACGGTAGGGCTTGTTGAGAGGCACGACTGACTGTAACCAATCGTCTCGCATCAGCTTCTCGACCGCACCGTCGCCGAGCTGCCATGAATACAGGTAGCCGTCGTAGGAGGACCCAACTGCGGTGAGGAGCAACCTGTGGTGGTCCACTCTGTTGGCTCGCTGGCGGTGGAGATCGATGAAGTAGTCGGAGAAGAGCATCGCGGACCACCCGCGGCAAACGCAGCGGAAGCGCCCCACGGACTTGGCTGGCAGCCGGGCGAGGATCTCCGTCACGACTACCTCGTTGGGCAGCGCCTCAGCACCGAGGTCGCTGTCCGCCGCCATGTCGTCCTCCGTTTTCACGGCTCACGCTCGAACGAACTTGCCCAGCAGAGGAATCGGCGGCGGCGTGGTGGAGGTGGAGGGCAACACGGCGCTGGCGTTCCAAGAAAACGGGGAACGATTCCACGATACGGCGATGGAACGGATTGTCGAATTAAAATATTACTATAAACTACTATACCCAGTAGTATATACTCCCTCCGTCCCTTTTTATCTGTCGTTTGCGCTTTCCAAGAAACAACTTTGATTAAATATATATTAAAAAATATTAATATTTATAGTACATAATTAGTATTATTGGAAAGATATTTAAATCTAGTTTTTTAATAAATTTATTTGGAGAAACAAATGTTGCACGTATTTTCTACAAATCGAGTCAAACTTATGGCATGAAAATAAAAAATAACAAACAATAAGGGACAGAGGGAGTACTTATCAATGCACAATGCTTCGAGCGGGGTATCCATATACTATACGGGAAGTGTATAGAGACAGAAACGGATGCAATTCAACACGGTCAAATATAAATTCGGATTGCACTATTTTTTTTTATCATACTAGCAAATATGCCTGTGCGTTACAACGGGAGAGAAAAAAAAAACTACCAGACATTAATAGGAAATAAGGACAAATATGTTATATATCTATTTATGTTTTAATTTTTCATAAATTTTAATGGCTATAATTTATTTATGATGATCATGACATCCTTAACAAAGTTAATATCATTAATAATATATGACAATGTCCTATTAAGTCTGCAACTAATTTAAATACTCTCATTGTTCCAAATTGTAAGTTGTTCGGACTTTTTTTTTAGATAGATGGCTTTTGCTACGCTTCTACATATCCATTATGTCTAAATACATAGTAAAAGTTTTATATATCTTGAAAAGCCAGAACGATTTACAATTTAGAATAGAGAGAGTACAACTTTGGCTTTTTTCGATTGTAAAGCACAAAAATATTTATTCGTAATATGTCATAACTTTAATCTATATCTATATGAATAGAAAATGATATAAGCCAGACAAACTACGCGGAGGATGAAAAAGGAAACACTCAACCAATAAAAAAAAATAAAACGGAGCACAAGGAAACACCGGGGACGGGCTGGTCGTGTGACGTACTGTATCCGAGGATGAGCCGAGCAGAGGGACGTACTGTTTCCGTTTTCCTTCTTCCGTTCGTTTTCCTCTTCCTGTTTTCCTTTTTTGCTTTCTCTTTTTCTTGCGTTCTTTTTTCTGTTTTCGTTTTTAGTTTTTCCTTTTTTTGTTTTTCCTTTTTCTCCACGTTGTGTATCTTTTCTTTTTTTTCTTTTTCTGTTTCTGTTTTCATTTTTTGTTCTTTTCCTTTTTCTCCACGTTGTATCTTTTCATTTTTTCTGTTTGGTTTCATGTTCCATTTTTTTCGATTTTTCAATACTCTTCGTTCTAACTTCTGCTATTTCTAAAAAACAACAAATATAGCATGATTTATGAGTCGCGGTCAATATACGACCCAATATGTTTTAGAATCGAACTCCGTATGCGCTAGACAATATAGCTATTCTAAATCGTATGAACACGGGTTATATATATAAGTCCGGACGGGAAAAAACTCTTCACTGTCCGTTAGTTAGAGGGATATGGACAAAAAAATGGACGGACCAGAAAAATAGGCTGAAATTTTACCTCTTTATTATTAGATATAGATATAGATATAGATTTGATTCGAATACAAACACAAATCTAGATGTTCCGATGTAAACTGAAAAGTTTTTTTTTTCTCTCGAACGGTCAAGCTAGCGCCTGGACATCCGAATGGGCGCTTGCGTCTAGACGTCCGCGCCTGCTACGCCTGTCCGCGCCCCTGCATAGGCATGCTAGCTGCTATGCTAGCCCCCACGCCTGCGCCAACCTCACGTGAGGGCCCGCGCCGCTCCATTTCCCACGCCTACGCGCGCCCATGCCGGGGCCGCATCTCGATCTGCCCTCGCACGGTTTCCCATGCCTGTCACCTGTGCCCTCTCCACACCCACGCGCATGCAGATGGGTCCAGTAGCTACAGCAGGCGGTTACGGCAGATGGGTCCAACTGCAACATGTGCAACACTAGGTCTACTTTTGCAATATTTAGACGAAACACTTCCAACATACACCCGAAACAGTTAAAACACTTGCAACATACGTTTAAAACACTAGGAAAATACGTGTGTATTAACCATTGCAAACATATGCAACATCTGGATAAAACACTTGCAACATATGTGTGAAACATATACAACATTCAGATGAAAAACTTGCAATATATATGTGAAACATATACAACATCCATGTAAAACACTTGCAACATATGTCTGAAAACACAAATAAAACATTGGAAACATACATTTGCAACATTCCGATGTACTTTTCCAACATCTATCTAAAAACACTTGCAACATACCTCTGAAATATCTGAAACATTGTTTTATACGCTTGCAACGTGCGCTTTCAGTACAACGTCACCTTGGTGCTTGGATGAATAGAGCTCGTCGTTGTGGAGCTCCACGCTTGGTGTTCCTGGACCCCGTCGAGGTCTCGTGGAAGGTCAAGAAGTGGCTCAACGTCGGCACTTAGCGGCGGCTCAAGAAGGTCATCGCGGACGAGCACGGGTTCGTCATGGGCATCGTCCGTGCCTGGCGCTGGAGGGCGAGCGCGTCGGTCGACCACCACAGAGACGACTTCCGTCCTGTCGTGGTTCGTGGCGAGTGCCGAGCACGTCGACGACGAGGCGCTAAGGGACATCGTTCTCAACTTCCTCATCGCCGGGCGCGAGACCACGTCGTCGGCGCTGACGTGGTTGTTCTGGCTTCTGTCGTCGCGGCTGGTCTTGGCGGCGCGCGTCCTCGCCGAGGTCCGTGCGGCGCGGGCGTCCACGGGCATGTGCTCCGGCCAGCCGCTCGGCTTCGACGCGCTGCGTAGCATGCACTACCTGCACGCCGCGCTCACCGAGTCCATGCGGCTGTACCCGCCGGCGTCGATGGACTCGCAATCGTGCGTCGCGCGGTCGCGGACGACGCGCTGCCTGATGGCACGCGCGTCGGAAAGGGCTAGTCCGTCACTTACAGCAGCGCCTACGCCATGGGCCGGCTCCCGGCCTTATGGGGCGACGACTGCGCCGAGTTCAGGCTGGAACGGTGGCTCGGGCGCGTTCCGGACGGAGAGCCCGTTCCAGTACACCATGACCATGTTCCACGCGGGGCCCAGGATGTGCCTCTCGAAGGAGATGGCGTACGTGGAGATGAAGTCCATTGTCGCTAGCGTGCTGGAAGAGTTCGTGGTCGACGTCAGGAAGGAGGTCGGCGGCGGCGACGTGCCAGAGCACGTGCTCTCCGTGACCCTCAGGATGAAAGGGGGCTTGCCGGTGCAGGTGAGGTGGCTGGAAGTGCTGAATGACTCACCAGAGCGTACATCAGTCTCATCTAGTGTATCTAGAAAATTCAAAATATCTTATAATTCAGAATGAAGGGAGTACCATTTTTATGAAATGTTTAAACGGTTTTCATAATCCATTCAAACATCATAGGAGAGGTATGATAGTATACTAGACAGTGGCATTGTTTCGTTGTAATCGTGCTTACGTGCTACTACTTTTTTTGTGCCTTGCCGTCCATCATGTTAAGATCCTAGATATAGTAAGACTAAGACCCAAAAATTTTCTGCCATCTCATGCTTCGGGAGAAATGTCAGAAGATTGTGCCGCTATCCATCCTAAAATAGCACAGTCGAAGTCTCTCCATATAAAAAAGTAGTCAAACACTCATTTTATTGGCTAAATTTAGCTGGTGTCTATTTGTTCTCTAATTTATCTACTGTGTTGATCATGAGAGACGGAGAGAGAAATGTCCTAACCGCTGGCAATATGTTTTATAACACGTTATCAGCACGACAAGCTCTACGTCGACATCGTCGTTGAAGCTGCCGCCGATCGTCGACACCCGCACTTGTGCCGACATCTTGCCACAGCTACTTCGACGACGTCGATATCCCCGACGTTGTTAACGGAATGGATCTGCCACCTCTGCCTGCTGTCGATCTGCACTACATCAACATGCATCGTTGTTGTCAAGCAGGCAGTTCTACGACAATGCCAAACGCCATGCGTGGTATGTATCCACTAACCATTGCCCTACACGGCATGTGAAGTAGATCAAATTGGCATCCTCTACGAGGTATGAAAAAATCGCATCTTGCAGATCGCGTTGTTCCGACCATCGAGTCAGGCTATTTTTTTATTAATTTTTTCTACGCGTAGTAGAAAGTCACGTACATGCACGGCATATACCCGCCACGCACTCAGATATGCATGGGATTTTTTGTTTTAATCTCATAAACATGATGGGGCTTTACAAGTTAGGCATGAAACCAACACACGCATCCGTGCAGGATACAAATACTCATAGAAGGTGTTGCAATTAAACGGTATTGACTTGTAGTCAAATTGAACGAGGCCGACTCGCTGAAGAAGTCGAACTCAATCAAACTGACATGATCTCACGCTACCGGACTCAGGCTCTTTGCCGAGTGCCTATGACACTCGGCAAATCCCCATATACACTCGGCAAAGTCTTTGCCGAGTGTAACCCTCGGCAAAGATCACTCGGCAAAGCCGGTGACGGCAAAGACCTCTTTGTCGAGTGTCTTTTGTCGGGCACTCGATAAAGGCTTTGCCGAGTGCCCGTAAACCACTCGGCAAAGAAAAGTTGCCTGACGGTGCCAATTGACGGTGACGGTCGCTTTGCCGAGCGCCTGACGGCGGACACTTGGCAAAGCCCGCCCTCTTTGCCGAGTGTCAGTCCTACTACACTCGGCAAAGGTGGCCGCTTTGCTGAGTGGCTAATGGGCGGCACTCGGCAAAGGCAGGGAGGCTTTGCCGAGTGTCTTACTGGTGGCACTCGGCAAAGCCTCCCTGCCTTTGCCGAGTGTAATGGCGATAGCACTCGGCAAAGCCTCCCTGCCTTTGCCGAGTGCAATGACCATA